TTGACACCTCACTGAGTCTTAGGTTTTACATTTTTACCTTAATTACAGATAACAACACAATTAATTACCACTCCCAAGTTTGCATACAAAAAATAATTACAACCTTTCATTTGTTACCAACTATAGCTAGCTAGAAGAAATCAAAGTCAAGGTAATTCTTATTGCAACTTCTTTGGTTTGGATTTGGATTTGGATTTGGATTTGGAGCTTCTTTAGGGGGTAAATTGGTCATTTCACTTGTTGACGTTACAGCAAGAACCGCATGTCGTTGAAACTCAGCCGGGTTTGGGACATGGGGCGGTGTGGCACAACGGATGAGCGCCCAATTAATACCTTGAAAGAAAGGGTGTTGCTTGATCTCAGTGGCTCCTCGTTTATACGCCAACCTCTGCCCGGGTTCTTTCACAAGCAACCCCTTCATCAGATCCTTAGCCGAAAAACTAACGGCAGGTGATTCTGGGAAACTAAGAGGCTGACTCACAACATTACACAATGTAGCTCGATTGCTCGATCCTTTAAATGGAGTCCTACCAAATAACAATTCATATATGAATATCCCAAAGGTCCACCAATCTACTGCACTTCCATGACCATCACCTTTGATTATCTCAGGAGCCAAGTACTCATGGGTTCCCACAAACGACATGGACCTAGCACTTGTTGGTTCAGCCATAAGCTCCGGCAAAGGGCTAACTGGTTCGTTTCCCTTTTCCTTCTTAGATATGCTCGAAAAGAAGCGAGGAGAGAAGCATGATGTCGGGACAGCACATGAAGGCGCGATGCAGTACATGGCATTATTATTATTATTATTATTATTATTGTTATTATTATTATTATTATTCTTGTGGATAGGTTGGTTGTTCATATTCACCAAAGTCGGACTGACACTGCAACGAAGTGAGAGAGATCAAAATCTGAAAGCATTATATGCCCGTCTTCCCTTACTAGAATATTTTCTGGTTTAAGGTCACGATAAACGATCCCAAGCATGTGAAGATATTCTAAAGCTAACAGCACCTCTGCTACATAAAATCTGCAGATATATTAACAACATTAGTACCAATTAGTTGAAGATTTAATTGTGGAAAACAAAAAGAAGATTACTTGACAGCTTGCTCAGTGAAGTGTTTCCTTGGTTGTCTCTGCCTAAGAGTGTGCAGATCACCTCCAGGACAGAATTCCATCACCAAACATGAGAATTTATCAGTCTCAAAATGGGTGTAAAGAGTTGGAAGAAAAGGATGGTCTAAAGATTGCAATATCTGTCTTTCGGTTTGAGCACGAATTAGCTTTTTTCGACCGGCTAGAGATGTTTTATCCATGACTTTGATTGCAAAATAAGCTTTGGTTCCTGTTAAATCTGCCAAATATACACTTCCAATATCTCCACAGCCTAATCTTTTCAATAATCTGAAATGGGTCAAACCTAATGAACCATCTTTTGATTGTATGGCTTCCCATCTTATATCATTAGATTTGTTATGTGGCTTGTTCATCCTACTGCTATGGAAACTAGTACAACTGCTCTCATCACTTGCATCGCTGCTGCTCGAGCTACTCTTCCCGCTCTCCACGAAATCGACATTTGCACTTGCACTTGCACTCGTTTTCGTAATGCTGCTGTTTCCATCACTCATCTTACCTGAAACTGAGCTGTTCTTCACACTTAAAGATGTTACTTTTTCTTGATCCACAGCTGATTCCCTTTTAGTAATCAGTAACTCGGAAGCCACTTGAGCTCCCAGATTGTCTTTAGCTACATGGGTTTTGGAGGCCATTATTGTACTATATATCAAATGTAATTCGGATAGTGATAAAGATTTCCATCAAGAACATATAACATATGTTATTCCAAGCTCGGCAAACAAGATGTGAAGGGCAAATTAGATGATTGAATATAATAATAATGAAGAGGAAAGGGGAAACAAGAAAATCTTGTTAACCAAAGCAAGGAGTTGATTAAAAATGGAGCAGTCAATTGTCAAGTACAAGTAGAAGGCATGTCAAGCAACCAGTAATGTAAGAAGAAAAGCACCATGAAAATGAAATGAAATGAAAGAAATTGCAGAGAGTGGAAGGAGCACCTGCAGAAACAATGAATGATTATGAAGTCAATGAAGAAAGATTAGCAGGAAGAGTGTAGCATAATCGTAAAACACAGTTGGATAAAATAGAATCAAGAATGAAGGTATGGTGTTGAAGGATGATGGATATGGGAAAGTGATGGTTGAACAGCATCAAAGACCATATGATATGAGTAGTCAAAAGCAAAAGCAAAAGCATAAACCTTTCCTTGCTTTTATTAAAATGAAATCAAATGAGAAAGGGTCCCAATTTGGAATCAAGATTTTTTGGTCTAAAAACCAGAAATTCCTCCACAGTAGAATGACAAATATACCCTCCACTCCAACCTGTTTTTTCTTCCAATAATGCTTGTTTACTGTTGAAAGCAAAGACAAGAGAGAGGGGTCAAATTTCCATTCCTTTGCCCTTCAAACACACACACACACACACACATTCTTTGACTATAACTCCAGAACCTTCCTATCCTATCCTTCAATCATTTTTGTCCTTGTCCCCTCCACACCCTAAAACCAATCTTTCATTTTTTGTTGCTATATATTATTACCTTCCTTACAATGAAATGAAATACTAATAAACAAGAGTTTGGTATGAATTTGGGAGTTACGGGTTGTGGGCGTGCCAACAAGGCTAAAATTGACATCATATTTGAATTAGCATTATCATGAATTTATGACAAGAAAAAACCCGATTTGGTTTACCATATCAATCTTAACAAAGACAGATTATGCTCTTCCACATGCCCAACTTGTCTCGAACCACACATGTACATGCCATGCTACTTTCGACATGATGTGATAAGGATGAAACGATATGGTCCAAAAGATCAATATTACATCAAAAGCTGGTTTCTTCCTTTTAGTCATACAATTGATGAGTGTTTCTCTAATGGTTCATTTTATGTTCTTTTTAGCTTCATTCTAGAATAAACATGTTAAAAAAAACAAATGTACACGAGTGCAATATACAAAGAATTAACTGTTTGAACATCACAACCAATTAACCTAGTGCTACATGGTTACATCTCCATTCAAACTATTTCATTGCCAGATCTTACGTTATAGTAATATATATATATATATATATATATATATATATATATATATATATATATATATATATATAATCTTCTAACTTTATCAAGTCATGTAACTAGAACGATGCGAAACTGATCCTTAATGTTGAAATTCATGTTAACAACTATTACTAACGACACATCATACCATTTTTGTATTATAAGATTGTCTCGGTCCAAAGATACGAATATTTTGTCACTTGTAATTCCTATGACAAATAAGAACGTTGTCTATTAGTTATAGAATGAGCCAAGAATGACATGTAATATGCAAATGTTGACATCAAGAATGTGTGTTAACAAATGGATAAACTTTTCTGACAATTAATTATGCATATACTTGAATTTGCAGTTGGCACAAATATTATCAAAAGATCGACGGTTGTATGATATTCAAGCATGCAACATTGCTTTACGCCGTGCTACATTGAACATGTATGCTTCCTGTTAAATATAAATAACTTATACAATTATTTGGGTATAAAGTTGATTACCGACAATCCCAAGTGAGGGAGCATTTTGCATACTTCCCTTTACAATTGTACATACTTTCCTCACGTTAGTAGGGTATCAAAGCCTACACATCTTCTGATTTTTTTGCATATCATGTAATGATTTGTTTTGAAGAGGGAATTGTAGCAATGCACTTCTTTCAAAAATGAACCCATAATTCATGTTCTAAATGCCTAACCCCCTTCATTTCTTCTCTTCAGACCTATCTTAACATCATTCATGGTTAGGTTAGGGTATCCTTTACCTTTACATAGATTATTGAGTCAGCAAAGCTAGTTTACCTTTCTGGAAGTGAACATATATATCTATCTTTGCATTAGTGTCTTTCATCTCCATAATCAAGCCATCAAATATGTTCACTTGAGACTTGATTATAACGGGGTGTTTGGTTTGTAGATAGCGGCGATGGTGGCAACGACCACGACGATGGTGGTATTGCATAAATTGGATGCAAAGGGTATTTTTCTTTTATCTTTTTAGAATCAAATTATGAAGAATTGAATCCGTTATATTTGGCTAGGAATGTAATTCAAGTCCTTGACTTATGCCAAGGAACGGAATTCAATTCTTTGACTTCTGTCAAGACATGATCAAATCGCTCCATCTCAGATTTGACGGAATCCAATCAATTCCATCAGTGAACCAAATGCAGGAATGGACTTTGTCAATAGAATCAACATTCTAATTCCTTTATAGTCCAAAGAACCAAACGCCCCTTCGATTGACGCTTCATCCTTCATCTTGCAAGTAAAAAATATATTTCGTAAGATTAGACCTTCATGAGGGACTTTTTTGAGGTATAGTACCTCTTGCAACGATGTTCATGTTTGATTTTTGAGATCACATCTTGGCTCAATGCAAATTACAAAATGGTGAGAGTTCATTCCTCCATCCCTATAATTCAGCCTCAAATTAGTTTGCAGTCTCATTCAGAGATAAGGCAATGAACACAATTTCCTCACTCCATTGTCACTTTCCAAAGTCTCTGTCCACATTCCATCTTTCAATCTCAAGTGCAGATCTGGATGGTGATGTATGTATCCTTAATGTAGGTGGTCTGTGGCTTTTGATGTGATAGCCATCTCTAAATACACACAACAATGCAGAACAACTTGGATCGAATAATCAAGAATGACTAACACAACGATTAAGTGATCAAGAAAACACACTAAACTTTCTTTGATTTATGAGAAAAATGGTGTACATCCAAGGAGAATGCTTTTGTTGATCAAACAAGAAACCAGACAATTGAATCGCCCAACTCCATTGCAGGCAGTTGCATATAATCTATCTTCACTTGCTAATTTTATGTAGCCAACAACTAATATATGCCAAAATTCACCATGCATTAAACATGAAACTTGGTCCAACGTAATTAACAAGTGACATAAATCAATCTCATAACTAATAAATCATAGATTGAATGTCAAATAGTAAAAGCTGCAATCTACTTGAGCATTGAATCGTTTTGCTAATTTGAAAAGAAAAACGTAACATACATGGTACAAGGCTTTGCAGCATTATTTCCGTAACGGCACACAGTGTCTTGAATTTCTTCATTCTCTCGAGGTTGATTATGCTTTTATTCATGATTTCATCAGATCCAAAATGTCTGAAATTTGGTTTGTGTAATAATCAGGTTGGATTTGATTTGAGGGGTCTTGGAGTGTTGACTGGCTTGTCACACCTGCATGCATCCATCATCAACATATATATCTAAATACATAACACAAAACATACAATATATAAACTTATGGACCTGAAAGGACAAGTAGAGTTGTGCAGCCAGCATTCTGTCCAAATAAAATATCCGTGTCCAATCTGTCACCCACCATGCACATTTTAGACGTTGGAATGTTGTATCTGCAGAAACAATTTTCATAATGAAACCAATTAAGAAAACAGCTTAATTAACCATTAGCTGCCTGCCATAATGTTAGAATATGCTTGCTTACTTTTTCTGTAAGAAGTCCATCAAAAAGGTTGACGGTTTTCCAACTACAATAGGCTCTTTCTCTGTTGATCCACAGATTGCAGCAACCATACATCCAGCACCTGGCCATTCTTGTAGATCAGTCATATTTCCAGTCGCATCACGGTTGGTAGCAATGAAAATGCACCCTGGATTTTCACGAATGCAAAGAGTTCCATATCTGCACACCATTTCCATCCATAACTACTACACTAACTTCAATCAAAATATTCAACTCACTATCTTATTCTTACTGTAGTTTGTAATAGTTTATATATTGATCAAGTCCAACCACGACCGCTCCAACCTGCCATCATTAATATAAAAAACAAACAGCTGGTATTCATATACTACATATTAAGCAGGAAAAGAACAAGTTTAAAAATTATTTAACTACAGCATGTTATATTACACTCTTATCGTGCTCGAAGAGAGTGTTTGCTTTAAGTTGCACAATCTTTTTCGCATCTTCCTGCACAACCATACATTAACATCAACATCATTTATCATGGGTATTTTCAATTTTAAAAAAGAAACAAAGATGAAGGAAAAAGGACAAGTATCCTAGTGGTAAATAACCGTGAATTAACTTCCAGCTCCTAAGCAAGGAGGATGATAATGCGCAAGTTGTTTAACGTCTAAAGTTTATATTTGAAGGATACATCAATACAACTGTTATGCCACCACGTATGAAAAAAATACTACAAAGCAAAAGAGAAGTTCTCAGGGTTAACTTTGGCAGTATTTTAGAGGAAGGTGCAGGGAGAAGCTTTTCCCAGACCCTTATAAAGATGGCTAAAACAAATGAGTTCAGCATTGCCCAATCAAACATGGTTTCTAAGGAGAAATGGTAGAATATAAGACCAACAATAGACTGTTACTGTGACGTACGTCAATGAATTAAAGCTTGAGATAGTGAAAGCTTACAGGACCACCAATCCCAGTAAAACCAGCAAGTTTCAGCTCTTCTAATATGCCTTCCCCACCTATTACATACACCTGCACCCAGATAATGACATGCATCTGCATTACTAAAAACAATAGCAGCAACATAGGGGAATTGGATCACTAGACGTTGAATAATATTGGGCTATTTTGAGATCAGAACATACTTGAGTAAAAACTTCAACTACAAAAAAATAAGAATAAACTTCAACAACAAAAATTGACCTTCTTCTCTGGAGGAAATTTGTTGACTTTCAAATACATAGCCGCTGCGAATGATGAAGAAAATATCTCCTCCTGTAAGCACTTGGAGTTTGAGTATTGCATTTGTAAACAAGACATTCTATCGATATGAAATTAGCTAAAGGAACATAACAAACCTCAGTAACTGAGATTCCAAGGGATTGGAACTTTTGGGCATATTGTCTTCTAGACTTTGTTGAATTGTTGGTCACAAAAACCAACTTCTTCCCCTGTAATAAACAACTTGAAAGTAAATAAAGAATCTAATTTGAAGATAAAGAGCATCATAATCTAAAGATTATCGAAACTGCAAGCTTAACTTAACCAAAAAGACAATCGTGGTATGGTATAAAATGTTACAGTTAAAAGTATTCAAACTAGTGCTGTTCTCTTGGAGAAACATAAACTGTTCGGATGGCACATTATAAGCACTTGAGGAAACAAAAAGAGTACCCTCCCCCCCACTTTTACTGAAATTTAGAGTGAATTTTCCAATTAATTGTCCTAAATGACAATCCTATTAAATGTGGAAGGATCCAATATACTCAACACTATGCGGTATCCTTGATCTTTACAAATCTGAAAAGTGGACACTAATCATATGACCAAAAGGGTCCTTTTTGCTCATGTTCTTTTGTATTTTTTTAGCTAACAGAGGCATCATCAACACAGAAAGAGAAAGTTTATGTTCATGGTGTCATGATCTGCTGGAGTCAGTCACTGTAAATGGACTCAATTGACTTAGTGTAAGCTGTTTCTATGAATGGAGATTCCTGGCTAACCTTTAGAAATTCTCCTCAGATTGGCCTTCCGAGATGGGTATTAAGGCCATTGTTCTATATGGGATATGTAGTTAGCTTGGTAGGAGAAGGCATTCAGTGATTCCATATAGAAGAAGGATCGGTTAGCTCATGGGTATTAAGGCCATTGCTCCTCCGGACAGGCCAACCATGTGTTTGCCTAATTGTCTATCTTGTACTCATGCTACAAATTGGTTTGTGATTGGAGAAGATGTTAAGGTCTCAAATGTGTTGACCTAATCTTAGAAGATATCAGTCATTGTAATTTGTATAGTTTCAACATCCCTTATCAGTTATGGTTGAAGGATGTTTCATCAATGCACTTGCTTTTCACCAGAAAGAAGAAATAAATAAGCAAGCAAAAGATAACCTTGGACCTAAGCATCTCCAATGTCTGTGGAACGCCATCAATCAGTGTATCTCCCTTCCATATTACACCTAATCATCAAAAAAATACAAAGTGACAGCATCATTCATTAAGATTTCTGCATTCTCTGTTTCCAGATAAGGAATAAATAAGATAAAGGAAAAACGATTATTGTTCCAAGAGGGTAAAGGCAACGATATCGAAAAAACGAACCATCGCAGTCGAAAAGGAAAGCATCAAGTGAATCGAAGAGGTCCCGAACGTTGGTGGGAGACAAATGGTGGCAAGGAGGAGTTAGTTTTTGGTCGCCCATGATTATGATTAAGATTATGATTATGAAGTTGGCTCTCTTTGAAAGATGGGAAGGACTATGAAGTTGGCTCTCTTTGAAAGATGCGAAGGACTAAGGAGAGCAAAGGGGAAAGTAATTGCGTTAATTCACAGGTGAATACGATTGATTACGCACTCCATCTTCTTTGTCTGCAATCATCTTATTGGTTCGTTTTCATCGAAGAGAATCACTTTCTCTCTTCGTTTATTCATGTAAGGCGAGGGGTTTTGAGGCACGTGCCCTTTCCTTTATTTATTTTTGATAAAAATTATGTTTTTAGAATCTATCTATAAAAATTACGATTTTCATTTCTATAGTTTAGATATTTCTATAATGTATAAATCATTGTTATTTTCGTTTTTATGATTTATAATTATTATTGTTTTAATTCTTTTTATTATATTAGTCTATTGTGCTTAAAAATGTAAGAACTAGTTCAGAGACGAAAATAACAATAAACTACAAACCATAATGTTTAGACCATAGAAACGAAAATCAATTTTTTTAGCAAAACCATAAGAACGAAAAATGTAGTTTACTTGAACATTCTCATTCTCATTCTCATGGTTTGTGTTTTTTTTTTCTTTTTCTTTTTGGAGTAAATTACATATTTGGTGTATGTGGTTATATACAAATTATGGGTAATGTTATTCTAAACAAAATAATTATAAGTATTGTTGTTGTAACTTTCTTTTTGTTATGAGTTAGATTCATTGATTTTTACCCCTTAACTTAAACTCAATTAAACCACCCATGTACCCCTTGGGTGATGGGATTTTTTCCTTTTTTTTTTTTTTTGTCATTTTAAGACTATTTTTTAATATTTATTTTTATTTTACAGCTTTTTAAATGTAATTTATACAAGTCTTTTGAAACATTAAATGAAGAGGAAAAAAAAAAAGACTTGTGGCCAATTCACGACCTACCTTTTCTCCCGCGCCCTCCCTCCCACCTCAACTCAGGCCACCATGTCCTCCTCACTGTTCATCATTCGTCCTCCCTACACCATCGATCATCAGAGAACTCAAACAACCATGGTCCATGCCCACCACTGACAGGCTCCATCTCCATTGAACCTAGATCTGAAAAATCCCAATTTTGGTGTGTGTGCGTGGAACGAAAATGAAGATGATGAACATCTATAAGGTTCTTTTGGCAAGATATCGACTCATTTGCCTCTGGAAAAGATTAAGATGAAGCGTGTCAAACCACAGGTTGAAGAAATCAAAGGAGACATTCAAAAATCGACAAAAATTGAAAGTTTTGCATCAACTTCATCTTCTTCTTGTTGGATATTAAGTGCAAATTTGGTCAGCTGAATGTCATTACTTTTTGTTAGCTTTTATTTTTGTTGAAGAACCCACTTTGCGGATCATGTGCAAGTGGGCTTTTTTTCTCGTTTTTTTGTTTGTGTAATGGCCATAAAGCCTCTGTTTTTCTTTCAATTATATGTTAAGGATTCAACAAACTCTTCAATTTTTTACACCTGTTTATGATTATTTATGTTCTTATTAAGATTTTGTACTTCAAGATTTTTTTATGGTTTTTTGATATGGTATGAATTTTAGGAGTTTTTTAGATTTAGGATTCTTGTTGTTGTTGCACTCTAGACGGGTTCGGGACAAATTTCTTGCTCTTGTTGATGAATTTCATATTTCTGTGCTCTTGATTTAATTATGGCTCTTTCTTGTAGTTGAAAAAGATGGGAAGAAATCGATGACGAAAACCGCAAATCTGTACAAATTGAGGTAAAATAATGGGCTTTTATTGTTAATTTGTTCTTCAGAAAATGGGTTTGGGTTGTTGCTTTTGTTCCTATCCTATTCTCCAGTATATCCTCTTTTCTCCGACGATGACCCACGATAATGGTCATCTTCTCTGGCTACCCTCCAGTAATACATAGATTTCTCTCACACACAACACGAATAATTCACTTGTATAAATTGCATTAAAACACTTGCTCTAAAAAATCATTAAAGGAATAGCTAAAATGAATTTCCCTTACATGAAAGGCACGTCAGAGGTTTGACGACAAAAGATCTAACAGAGTTAGCTTAAGGGACCCAATCTATAACACAAATGAAACCATAATAACTGAATAACAATACTTGTAATTATTTCGTTTGGAAGATATTCTCAATTATTTTTATATAACTACAAAGACCAAATTTGAAATTTATTCTTTGTGTATTTCATCATTAAGATACACCAATGTAATATGTAGATATAGTAGCTTTTTAGGACTGTAATCAAAATGATGTGATAATCGGATTTTCGATTATAAAAGTTCGGGGTGATTCTTGAAAGGTAATGGTAAGTGGATGGATTTAAATTGATTATATGTTTAATTGTTTAAAATAATCTCACCGCCTTTTATGATTTATGATTGTTTATGTGAGATATTTGTTTTATCTCATGGGTGAGTGTGAAATCTTGATATTAAAACTAATAAACCTCCACCGCCTGTTTGGTTTCATATAAAAGGTAATGGATAAGAAAAGTGAGAGAGAAAACTTCACTGTGTGTTTTCTTGTGTGAATCCTACGTGAAATCTGTAAGAAGAAGAGGAAGTGATTCTGTGTTTATATTTGGAAGTTGTTGATGTATGAATTCATCTTTATATACGTGAAAACAATGCGAGTTTATGTTATCAAATTTCTTTATTTGGTATTTGAAATATTGAACTGTATGGTTCTTACTTGAAAAGATGATGAAATTGTTTCTTGAAGCTGTTTTGAGTTTGATGGTGAAACTGTGTATAAAACTGTAAGGTTCTTATATAAGTTTTTTTTATATAAATGTTTTGATGTCATTATTGGCAAAATTATGAATTTTTTATGATTATATCTTTTGTGGAAATAAATGTGGCATATCAAGAAGAGGTGTATATTGGGATAAGGGTGACATATCAAGAAGATGTGCATATTGGGATAAGGGTGACAATTGTGAAATCTGGATTTTGATCATGTGTTTTTGTTATCACATCCTTATGATGCGATGCCTTTGAGTTATCACATCTGTGTGATGCGAGGACTTGGGTTATTAGGGATGGTGATTTGCCTTGACCCGGTGGGGAACCCTGTTCACCCGACCCTAATGGGGACGGCGATTACCCACTAAAACGGGTCCCGAGGCCGGGGATCCCAGTAGACTCAAACCGGGATCGGGGTCAGGGTCGGGGCCGCGGGATGTTACTCAAACCAGGGTCGGGGTCGGGGCCAGGGATCCCCGGTAGAATCAAACTAAGGGATATTCTTCATGGGGTTTGACCGGGGATTTACCGGGGTTTGACCAGGTTTTGACCAGGGACAGGATGTTAATCCCCGTACCCGCCGGGGACCAGGGCTGGGGTTAGGGGATGCTACTACAAATCGGGGTCGGGACCGGGGATTACAATCCACCTCATCCCCACCCCGTTGCCATGTCTATGGGTTATTGCTTCCAATTGATGTGATAACAACATTATTGTGATGAGAAGGAAAATTGTTTATAACCAGAAAGGTTTTGAAAGGTTGTGCTTTTGAATTAACTATGTTTTTGGGTTGGTCTGGTTTCTGGATGACTTTACTTCAAATCATTTGATAAATGGAGGGTTGATGAGGAATCGGAGAGGGCTCTGGTTGATCTTCATATTTAACCAAAAGGCCTCTGGTTGTATTTAGGTCCTATGACATTTTCAAAACGTTCAACATATCTTGACCTAGAGGCTCTGCATATGCTATGTAGAGACTCTGTGCTTGGAAGTTGAGTTGTATATCTAAGTTCTGTTTTTAGGCTCTTAGTTCCAGGCAATTTTTATGACTAAAACCTTTTGGACTAAACTATTTTCAAACTTAGTTTTTATAATGGCACTTAGAGCCTAGAGCATAGTTCAACCAGAAGGGCTCTGGTCGTCAAGAGGGCCTCTAGTTGGCTTGGCTTTTGGCTGAATTACCTCTATTTTTGTTATTAAGTTTTTGGGAAAATATTTCAACCTTCGGTAGAGGACTAGAGAGGCTCTGGTTGATCTTCATGATTAGCCAGATGGCTCTGGTGGTATTTAAAATCCTTTTACTTTCATAATATATTATTTTTAGTTTTCAGAAGCTCTGGTTAGGTGAACCAGAGGCTCTGGTCGTCCAGAGGGCCTCTGGGCCATGACTTGTGTAGATTTTTGCTTCGAGATGACCATGTTTTTAAGTGACTTTGTCTTGAACTTATGATTGATGAACCAGAGAGGCTCTGGACATCCAGAGGGCCTCTAGTTGGTCGTGTGTTCTGGTTGGCCTCATCTGTTTATAAAGTCTTGTTTCTGGTTAACCTTTAGTGGCCTTGTTTTAAGTTAGGCTTTGCTCTGATTGGTAGTCCAGAGGAGCTCTGGTCTTTAAAGAACCAAAGGGGGCTCTGGGTGATATCGCACAATGTGATGCGAGGAGTTGAAAATCTCGTACCAGTGTGATGCGAGAAAGTTTTATAAATCCATATGATGCTATAGGTTTTAATATGGGATAATTTCCAAGATATTAGGTAATTGAATGTGATATTTTAGTTATGTTATGTCGAAAGGTTATATATATTTGTTATAACTAGAAGGGTACTCGCGCAATGCAGCGAAATGCATCTCGATTTTAATGTTCTATGTTAATTTTTGTCTATGTCGATGTTATAATACAATTTTTATGTGTTTTTAAGAAAGCAATAATGATTTTATTTTTTGAATAAAATAAAATTTTGAAGATAACATTAAATTTGAAAAAAAAATATCAATGTTAATATCAAATCAACTATTTAAAACTTCTATTTTTTATGTAATTTCTTTAATTAATTTATTATTATTATAATTTAATTTAAGTTTAATAATGAAATAATTTATTTTTGATTTAATCATATAACATTTTTATAAAAATAATAATTAAGTATTCTGTTAGAACTCAATGATTATCCTAATTATATTTTAGATTTTTTATATTTAAATGAGATGTTTATCCTGTATTTGATTATGTATATCTGCAGTTAGTTACACGGATTCAGATATGGAGCATTAATAAGTTGTACTTACGCACAATCTACTTGTAATCTTGAGTTTTAAGTAACATGCATTAATAAATTATACTTTATGCATAAGAAATGGTTTTTAAGAGTTTTTGTCAAATGCTTTATAATATAGTATAGAGATATATATTAATGTATAAAATAATAA